TCAGTGGCGGCCTTAGGGGGTGGCGAGCAGGGCAATCGCCCGGGGCCTCGCTCTTGGAGGGGCCTCGCGCAACAACCAAGTAGAAAAAAGTTGATATTTAAAACTTTTTATTTTATCCTTGGCTATTAGTTATAACAATAAAATAAATTTAATTTATAGTACAGTATATATTAATATTAATAAGTGCCTACTATTTCAATTCACATACTTTGCACAAAGGATAAGGGCCTCGCAAAGATCTGCCGCCCAGGGCCTCGCAAAGATCTGCCGCCCAGAGCCTCGCAATAGATAAGGCCGCCGCTGTATATATATATATATATATATATAATTTATTGCAGAATTTTAAAGTGTGCAATTAGAATCAGAAATCATTCTATATGTAGACAGTTATGTATTACATAACTGTCTATACGATTATGTCTGTATGTCTAAAAGTAGGCTGTACAGTATTACAACATAACCAAACCAAGTTAATTAATGGAAAATATGCAAATCTAGAAATGACAACTTTTCATCATAACAAATAATTTCATTTTCCGAAATTTCTATACAATATCATATATCAGTTAAATAAATACTTTGTCTATTTTAATTAATAACATTTATTCCGAAATAAATACAGTATAAAAATGTGTAGGTCTAATATTTAGAAACTATCGCATAAAAAAAGCAATCATGTCACACATATCTAGAATGTGTTGATTTTTATATTAAAAGTCAAAACTCAAGTTTACTTAATTGCATTGTCTATTGAATTAATTATGCAATTAAACTTAACTTTTGATTCTCAAAAGTATCAATAGAATCTCTCAAAAGTTATATAACATAGACCAATTGAATTCTTGAGAAAGTTTCTATTTCTGCGAACTTGATGCTCTGATTTTATTATAATTTCAGATAAATGTTTTAACAATATTTCAAAATTTCAATTGCATAATAATTGTCAATTATGCTACAACAGAATTTTAATAGCTATATTGCTTTATTATTATTATTTAATTTTTTTCGTCCTTTAGACATTAAGAGCCCACGGGAAGGGGAATCAGGAAGGTCAGAACATTCAGATCCATAGTGGGTTTGGTCAGGCTCACAATGGGACGGTTGGTTAGTAATGATGAAGCCCAAATATTCAGAATGGACCATCTCCGAAAAATTTTCATGGATTTTTTTTCAGACTTCTTGGCACGATTTCGGGTCCCTTAGAGTGGTAAACGGCCGCGGCCATGCGGCCGAGTTTTAATAGAAGAAAGGTAAAAATCTATGAATATACACTGGTGGGTAAAAGTTAAGTTACAAGTAGTTTTTGCCTCATAACTTTTGAAATGAAGCACCAAAACATTTTAAAATGTAGACATATATGCAAATTTACATAACGAATAAGAAAATAGCAAAATATCTTGTCAATATGGTGACTCAGTATCTTCAAGATGTTGGAATCCAAAGAATGGACTGGTCATCCAGGTCTCCAGATTTGAACCCGATAGAGCATGCTTGGGATGCCCTTGGAAGACGGGTGGGAATTCTCTGTCCCCACCCAGAAACCTTAATGAGCTCAGGACTGCTCTCCAAAGAGAATGGACTTTAATTTCTAATGAATTGATCAATAACCTTGTAAAGAGTATGAGAAGCAGGTGTCTAGCATATATTGCTTTAAGAGGTGGTCACACACGCCCTTTTGAGTGAATAAATTTATTATTTTAATAAAGTTTCTATTTTATTTTAAATTAAGAATAAAAAAAAAAAAAACACTTGTAACTTAACTTTTGTCCTCTAGTGTATTTGACAATGTTTTAAAAAATAATCCAGAAAGCCATTAAAATTCACTTTAGCACAGAGAGAATACAATTTTACAACAACACCTGAGCATTTTGTGAGAGAATTCTTTATTCACAAACGTTTTCAAACTACTTCCATAGATTTATCTATAACAATAGTTTGAATCAGGCTTAAGTAAGTTTAAAATCGGATTCAAATCAAATATTTAGTAATTTTAAAAATTTAAAATTACTAAATATTTGATTTGAGTAATAAAATACTTTAAGTGAAAGCATTTAAACTGAATGTTCTATTTGTGGAACATTTTCTTAAACTTATTTAAAACTTGATGATGGCCTATGGCAGTAGGTTGAAAACGTTTGTTAACAAAGGATTCTCTCAGCAAAATGTTCAAGTGTTGTAGTAAGATTGTAATTCAGAAAGCGTATTTGTTGTCATTTTTGCAATATTGGTAAATTATCGAATGAATAACTTTATTAATTATTGTTCTAACTGCTATTATTTATATTTGTAAGCGTTAAATACATTTATGAATTAAGGACATTTCAATACATTTTATACATTTTTCATTCGCAGTTTTAATTGCTTATAAAGAAAATGCATTCTGAAATGGAAAATATGAATGCAATATTCAAAGAATTCATATAGCTTGTAAAATGTAACCATGCGATAATTTCACGACTAAGTTGTGATTAATATAAAAATAAAAATAAAAATGGCGGTGATAGTAAAGTGTCAGTCTTTTAGTTTGAGAAATCGGATGTGAGTCTAAATCATCTCAAAAATATAATTTTTTTATTGGTGGGTTGCCGTGATATATCAGTTCTCGTCTCTCACTACCGGACAATCCTTTATGTGACTGGCCAAACCCACGATGGAATGGAAAAAGGTCCTCTAATCTCCGCTATATGGAGAGAGCTAAAATTAGGAAGTTATTCTAAGATAGACCACGGGTATTTTTACAATAAATTGATTAAGTTTTACCAAATAGAATGTACTTTAAAAAATTTAGATTGGTCAATTGCAAACAAAAATTACTGTTTATGCGATCGTTTTCTACCCTGGACATAAAAACGAGTAAGACTTTCATTTAAGAAATTCCGGTTTCGATTCCCTTATTTATTCCATTTCTATAAACCTTGTAAATTATTATTGATCAGAAAAAGATTATCGGATAAAAATAAAATTTTGTCTTCATTTAATTCATTTCTGTTTGAAATTTACTCGCGGGCATTTGTTATCATTGTTTGTATACTGTAATTGCATTCTTTATTTTTGTTAAACATATTATTCTATAAAATACTAGCAGTTACCCGCGACTTCGCCTGCGGAGGTTTTGCAAGCAAACCCCATTTATATTCAGTATTTCAACAACCATAGTAATTGTTATATAACACCTGCCGCGGAGAATGATGAGAATTGCTCAAAATCAAACGAACTATTTTCAATTTGATCAATTTTCTGGAACGTTCACAATCGTTCTATAATCGAACCAATACGCAATAACAAATTCGAATTTAAAACGGTTCGAACATTTGGTTAAAAAATCGAAATATATAAAAACATTTATAACAATGTCTGAAATGTTATCAATTTAATACGCCTAAGTACTCAATGAAGACTAAACTTAACAAAAATTCGTATGTAAAATAGTACAGTAGAAGCCGTTCTTCCGGTTAAGCCTTAATGCTTTCCCTCGCCCCCCCGCTGGGGAATTTCGAAAAATCCCTTCTAAATGTGCATTGCCATGGCATACCCTACTAAAACGCAGTTAAAAACAAAAAATCGCATCTAAAATAGTACATTATAAGCCGTTCTTCCGGTTAAGACTTAATACTCTTCCTCTCCCCCGAAGGAAAATTTCGAAAAATTCCTTCTTAGTGTGCATTCCCATGTTATACCCTACTAAAACGCAGTTAAAAACAAAAAATCGCATCTAAAACAGTACAGTAGAAGCCGTTTTTCCGGTTAAGCCTTAATGCTCTCCCTCTCCCCCCGCGAGGGAATTTCGAAAAATCCCTTCTTAGTGTGCGTTTTCATGACGTACCCGAACTGTGTACCAAATTTCACCTCTTTAGGTTCAGCGGTTTGCTCTGGGCGATGATGAATCAGTCAGTGAGTCAGTCAGGACAAGCAATTATATATATATAGATATAAGTTGAAATCAAAGCTTAAAATTTCATTTCATTTTAAGCAGTACGAATAGAGTGCGATAAATAAAACAATTCATTTTAGTTCTGAAATAAATATTTTTATTTCATAACCATTAATTATTATTTAGACATTAAAGAAGTAAGATGAAGAATATCCGATTTACTTTTTCTGCTGTTCTTCAAATCACTTTACTTTTCACCAAAAATCACGTTATTTCAATTCAAAAATTTCCCCTAAACAGAGTTAGATAGATGCATGACTATTGTTAAGAGGAAAAGTATGATGTACAGGAGCAAGACACTACTAAAATCAAGACTTATATTTTAAATTAAATAAATTAAAAATATAATTAAAAATTTCAGCCAGTCATCGTAACGATGTCACAATAAATAATTGCTCGTTTAAAATAATTATAATTCTTAAATTAAGAATTGTCTTATTGAGTAAATTCATAAACATTTATATTGAACATGAAATGTTTATGAATTTTGCTTAAACTACGGTAAAAAAATTTTCTTAAAATAGGCCTATATTATTCTTCGTATCAAACTCTGTCAAATGATATAAACTAAGATTTTTAACATCTTTATTATAAAGTCTTACAGAAAGAAATATTGTTTAATCTATAAACTCAATTGGAAAATTTAAATTTAATAATATAGAATATTAAAACTTGCAAACTTGATTGAAAGTATGCTAAATTTTACTAACACATTTGTATGCTAATTTAAGCGTATATTACAATTCTTTGCATTAATGCAGAACATATATACGTGTTTTTATCATAAGTATTTTTTGAACTTTTTTTTTTTACAGAAATCATTTTCGTGCCTTTTATATTCGTCGCTCTTGCCGCATATTCTGTTAAGAATATGGAAGATATTGGGTCTAAACGACAATTATCTCAATCTTTTAAAAATAAGAAGAGACAAAATGATATCACTTTAAAATGGTAAACTATAAAATGAAATTAATATTTTCATTAATATTTAAATATTTCCCGGTAATAATTAATTTAATAATTTATAGAAACTATTCCTTGTTAAATTGGGGACAGTTATCACTAGTTATAATGGACTTTATTGTAACAGAGAATAAAAAATATAAAGAACTATTCAGCTCTTAATGTCGTCTATATAAATACTGTCATATAAATTAAATTTAAAAAAAATTACATAATTAATTAAAATTTTCATACATTTTCTCAGGTTAGGAGAAAATTATTGTTCTTACGAAGGTGTATGTTTACCACGAGGAATCGTTTACGAACATTATTTAGATTTTTGTCGCAAAGAAAAGCTGCAACCCACTTGCAAGGCAACATTTGGAAAGGTATTTAAACTCGTATTTGATTGTAAAATAAAATTTTCACTTAAAAACATTTTCTAAATGAAACTTTTATTATTATTAGATAATCAGAATTAAATTTCCTAATGTGACTTCAAAGAGATTAGGAGCCAGAGGACATTCCAAGTTAGAAAAAAAATATCTTGGCAAAAAATTAATTTCTATGTATACAAAAGTGGATAACGTGGAAAATTTTTTAAATTTTAGGTATCATTATCATGGAATCGGTATTCGAGAAAACAGCGAATATTATGAAACAGTATACACTAATAGAGGTCTAACCAGGTAAAAAATTTCTACTTTATCATCGTCTTAATAATAAAAATATCTTTTTTATTATTATCTATTTAAGTCTGGTAAACAAATTTCAACATAAATGTAATGATAATTTAATAATCCGCATCATCGATAGGATTTTCTTTTTCTTTTTATTATTTAGTTTTGATTTGTTTAAAATACAAAACGGGATTTTTCGTTATCACTAATTACTCATACCGGCTAACAATTTTGGTATTTTACCTATTGTTTAGCGCCGGGTATTAAGCTGAATTGGCTTACTTCGTTAATTATCATATACCTCGATGACAGTCCGAGATAAGAAAGAAATTTATGACCCAATAGCGCGTTTGAGTCGCGAGATAAGCGCCTGAATTGGTTTAAAAGGTGCTAAAACTTCAATTATCCTACTAAAATTAAACAATGCCAAGAACGATATATTATATAAGCATTTTCTTAAATGAACAAGTAATTGAGAACGTTGATAATTTTCACTTTTCTCTTTCAGGTTTTCCGGTTGTAAGATGAAAAACGAGGTAAGATTGGATGAAAGGAGAGGTAATTTTTTTGTTAAACAGTAGGAACTTGTCACCTTTTCAACTAATCTGTAGATATTAAACCGGATGTTTGTTCGCGATTGCCATTTATCCGACCCTTGAACGCGTCAAGGTGGGAATCAGGTCTCTGACGTCATTCCTCACCGGTGCCAAGCAGTCTGGCTCGACTGATAACACCTGATACTTTGGAGTTTTTTTTATAATAGTTTTTTATTTATAAGTTTAGTAAAATGATCAAAATAGTGACAATAATGTTAACTTAATTAATACACGAAAATGAAATTTTGCACTATTATTTGTCAAAATTATTTTGAATTTCAAGAATAATCAATAACCAATTAAAATAACTTTTCATAATTTATAAATTCTGACTAATTTATAATATAAACAAATACTGATAACCTATATTTTATTAAACGACACATTTCTGTTTTAAAAATGAAATCAGTAACTTAATATTGACCTAGATAAACTTTTATTTATTTTTCTAAGTGAATTCTTAATTCTTTAAAATGTGGAGTATGTTTATCGCCGGAAACATCTAAACACGATTAAAGACAAACAATGATCTTTCGTCGGATATTTTTGATCTAATTATTACCTTGTTATATTTAGGGCGGATTTACTAGAAAGTATACATTAAGTACTCGAACCGGAACTCTTCTTCCAGAGTTTCCGGTAGCTTCTCATTTGAAAATCCCTGAAACTATACAACCGGAATTGGTAAATATTAATCGATTAATATTTAGGGAATTATTTACCATTAACTTTTAATGATGCTTTCTATTCCGTTTATGTTAGTTGCAGATATTTTTAACCATGTACAAGACTCATTGCCAATGCGTATTGGATACCACTATAGGCGGAAATTTCGAAGAAGTTGGTATAAAGTGATGTTCTTTGTTCTCTGATCAATTAGCAGATCCGTATAAATTTATTTTTCACAGATAAGAAGCTACTTATTGCATTTTTGGCAAGGCCTTCCAGATCATTTGCTTCCTCTAGTCAAACACCAATTTGTCAATGATATTGTTGCAGTATGCGATTGGATCTTGTATAAAGTATCTTTTCTATTTTTTTTTTTACTATGTATACTTTATTGTATCAACATTTAACAATATAATTCACTATAATTTAAAATGTGAACTCTAAGTTTTGGTATATGAAGGACTTATCATACTTATTGAAGCATCCAGACAAAACTTAGCGCTCACGTATTCAATTATAGTAATACTGCATAAAGACACCAAAAGCAAATCACCAACCAATAATTCACTATGCTATTATTTTTTGATATAATTGCTTGAATTAAGATAATTTTTGTAAATTTCACTAATTTTATTGTAAATGTTTAATTTTACTTTAGACTCTAATAGACGTATTAATTCCTTCTACGTTACAAGAGATGCCAGAAACGTAAGTTTGTGTAGCCTTTGGTTAATTTTGTGGTTTGGAAGAGTAAGGCCAATGTCATGGGCTAATGAACTCGACATTGGTCCTTATTCTTCAATCCACAGAATTTAGTTATGATTTCATTAATTTGATTCATCATTGTATTCTAAATTAGGTTATTGTGTGAGATCAGAAATTTGGCTCATCACTGGAAAACATGGTTGACTTCCTCGTTAGAAAAACTTCCAGAAGGTCTATCCAAAGCTAAACTACCGGTAGCGAATCTTTTTTCAGTGTCTTTGAAGAGACAAGTATCATTTCTCCACCTGGCTCAAGTAAGAATCACTAAACATAAAAATCGAATGCCATTTATATTATTTGAGGCAAAGACAACTTTCAATGTACCAAAAATTTTACAGATTACGCGTCCCATTTTATATGACCAGAGACATATCAAGGCCATAACAGAAGATGTGGAAAATGTTGAGTTATCTACAATTAGTACTTTATATACATCTGGAGATTGCAACGGCGAAATCTGTTTTAACACTGAATGTAAGATCTGTAAATGTCAAAACATTTTTCTTAATTGTTTAGATGTTTAAATCTATATAAATTTATTATTTAATTTTAGTTTTTCGTCAGTTTAAAGACCAACTTAGGCGACAAGCAACAATTGAAGGATTTATCGAGTGGATGGACGAATTAGTTGAAAAGAAAGTATTGAAGGTAGTTACATTTTTAAAATGTTTAGCAAAATTATAGCGTTATAAATCTTTTATTACGTATTTAAGCTAGGAAAGCAAGAAAATTTTCGACAGAGAGCCCAAGATTTTCTTTTAAAATGGTCCTTTTTCGGTGTACAAATTATGTATAGTATGACCATGAATAACGCTGAAAATTTTGGTAAGTGAATTTATTACTAAAATTGACTTTTCAAATTTCCTTTCTAATTATTGTGATTAACTTCTTTTCATTTGTATACAGCTTCTTTTCACTTGCTTCGATTGCTGCTAGATGAATACTTATTACTAACAATGGAGTCTCAGTTCGAGTACGAAAAAGAAACAGAACTACAAGCGCTTCTTCAGAGTTATTTAAAAAATCCTGGCAAGTCTGTCTTGTATATTTAACAATCATTGTTTTTAATGTAACAATGATTTATTATTTAATATGTTTCTTTACAAAAGATTTTGGTAAAAATAGGCAGAATAACGTTATAAAGCTAAAAACGCGATAACGAGATAAAATTTTACATCGACCTACTTGACTTTAAGAGATAAGTTATTCTAACAAAGAATTTTATCGGTGTTGAAAAGATAAGCCAACATACGACTCAAGAACTTTTTTTTATTAAACTGTATAACAAAAATTTCAGTTCAAATGATTTCGATATTCCAGATAACAATGGAAACCAATTATTTTCGGCTCCAACATCTTGTTATTTGGTTCAACGACATCAGCTGTCACCTGGAGTTACCAATCATTGGCAGAAAAATCAAGAAGGTAAAAAAGAAAGACGACAACCTGTAGCAACTGTCAGACCTACTCGAATCATCAATCGCTTGATAGATGATAGTGTTACATCCGATACAAGGCGCTACAATAATCGAACCAGTCAATCAGAGAATCATTCCACATGGTATTTCAAAGATTCGCACTGCTACGCAAGTAAGAATTATTCGTTGTCATTTTATGTATATATATATACTTCTCTTTTAGAATTTATATCCCATTTATTCCTCAGACCATGGCCAGAATTACGGAGGAGAAATTAGCCAAAGTTTACCATTACAACATTTTCACAATGCAACCACCAGACAGATAAGTTCTCAATCATATTCCATGTATTATCAGCAACTGCCTGAAGAAATGTATAACAACACTGCCCAGATTCAACAAGGTAAAAAAAGTTGATTAACATTCAGTTTTACCAGTAAAATGGCTAATTTTCTTCAAATTCATTATCATCTTTGCATTAAACTCAAATTCCAGATAGCTGTATGCATTCAGCAATAAATTATTTTCCGTCAGATGATTACGGAAAACAAATTACGAACGGTGATAATATGGCTGCAACAAGAATGGCTCATGATTATCCCTTATTTGGAACTCAGAATTACGGAGATTATGCATCCGAAAGTAAACATCACCTTGGTAAGATAAGTGACGAATACACTTTGCATAGAAATAAATTTCTTAACTTATTACTTTTACAGTTCATGGAAATTATTACAATCATCAGCAGTTCGTTTCCAATGCAGATGCTTGCTATAGGAATGAATTATCCTATATTACACCCGATTTGCCATCCATTGGAACAATGTTTGTTCAATGATAATGCTTTTTACCACTTGGATCGATTTGTACAGTTGACAATATAGACGATTCTTATTTATTTATTTAAATATCTTCAAATAAAAATGTTTAAATTTCTGTATCCAAATTTACTACTTTTATTTATAATTTATTAAAATTATCGGTGAAATCAGTAAGGGAAGAATTCGACAATCTCAATAAAATCGTTACAGGAGGAAATATGAGAATTTATATTATTTTCTGCATTTTCACGCAGAACTTTACTGAAATTCGTTTTTGCTTTCATATGCCCAAAATTTCCGATGCATCCTTTAGAAATTATTTTTAAGTATCAGCCTATCAAATATTTTGGACATTTCTTCTATTTTTTAAATTTTATTTTAACATATAATCGTAACAAAATTATTTACAAATATGTATTTGTATATGATTTTTGTAGTTTTTTTTTAAACCAAATACTGATTTCTTTAAGTTTTGATTAAAAAGCAAAAATTCTAAATTAATTTAATAAAACTATAATCTTCCCCAAACTCTATTTAAATTGAATCTAAATTGGGAAAGACACCAAGAATGAGCTTCTTGGTGTCTTTCATATTCTCAAAATTTTATAATCAAAAGAGTATTTACTATTTTAATTATAAAATTTGGGTTGAAAATATGTTGCTAATAGATGACACAAATTTATCAACTTGTTTTTACTACCCATTTTCATGTATAATTATTAACTGTAAAGTTATGCATGTACTTATATATATATAAAAATACTAATTTTAATTTTGAATAAAATTCAAAATTATAAATATTAATTTTAAATTTTAAATAACTTTGTTGTAAATGCAAACAAATGTTTGAAAACTGATGACATTTCTATTGATTCATACTGAAATACCTGGCTATAACTTATGTATATCTAGTAACCTAAATTATTTTCTCAAAATTTTAAAAAATGTAATTTATATAAAATAAACTTTTGCTACAAAACATTTTTTATATAATTTTATATAAAACATTCTGGTTTGCTAATAAAAAAATATTGATATACAAATACAAGTTTCTTTTATTGTGTGAAAAATATGAACAATGATTCAATTTTAAAAACTTCTTATAAAGTTTCACAAAAACAATCTGATTACCAACATCTACTACAATGGTTATTGAAAAAATAATTTATTTTTCAAGAAAAACAGATATTATATTAAAATCAGGCCATATTTTTTTCCTTCTTGAATGGGAAGATCTGGAATTTACATATTTTCCATGATCAGGGATTAAACATATAAAATTTCTCTTATCTTACACACAATTGCACCATTTTATGAACGCGCAAATTCAAAGAAACGAATATAAAATTTTCAATTTTATATACGTTCATAATGAGGCTTCCAAAAAAATTTTTGGCTGAATGTTATTTGTCAGATCTACTTCAGAAAAATTTATATAAACAAATGTCACATTCTCTCAAAATAATAAACACCCAAATAGAAGTCATGGCATCATCATTGTACTATAACTGAGAAGGGATAAAACAGAGTGATAACTTTCTTTTTTTGCACTACGTTTGGACCCGACATTCCTTTATACATGTGGAAGTATTCTTTTCAAGCTGCCGTAGAATCGCATTGGACAATATATAATATACATGATTAATTACTCCATTGTTTGTCTGCAGTTAAATTTTTACAGATAAAATGATCCTGGGAATTAAAATAAAATTTGTATGCACTTCAAAAAAATGCAATGACTTTAAAAGAAAAACTTGATCATAAATTTGGCTATGAAATGTTGCAATCATTACTTTTCTCACTCTTATCCGATATATTATCTCTTTCTACATCATTAGTCTTTCCTAAAGTCTGAACTTTGCTTTCTTCATTGAATAAATTCTCTATTTTAGTATTGGTTTCCTGAACAGAATTTTTTTTACAGTTGGGCAGGGAATGATAATTTCCTTCATCTTCTTGATTAAAAGAATTTTCTTGTGTGTTATTTAAAGAAAACTGTCCTTGAAGTTTGAGTACTTGAGGTCTGGAAGTAATTATTTTTGTCAGTGCTTTGACTTGATTACGTATTGCTAACATGAATGGTTTATATCCAAGACTGAAAGTAAAAAACAAAACTGAAGTTATAAGACAATTAAAATATCGAAAGATGGTAAATAGAAAACTTTAAAATTACCAATGAGTATCTATCCAATTTTCCAATTTAGTTAATCCATCTTTCAAGTGTTGAGCTATTTCCTGAGAAAATTCTGGTTGACGTGTGGCATTGACCACCCTTATGATTGCCATGGCATCCCTTAACACAAAAGCAATTAATAATGACCAATCCAAACAACCTGCTTCTAACATCAGTTGTAAAAGATATCTGAAAAAAAAAAAAATAGAATTACAACGAGTGAGTTTATACAATTATAAAATATTGAATAAAAACAAATTAACTGAAGAGAAAATGAACAATTTAAAAGTACAAAGACAAATAAAGAGCAAATAAGACAAATAAATAAGCTGGATTAAATAGAGAATATTGATAGAATGGAGAATAAAATAAAATTCTGTCACTTTACAAAAAAAATAAGTTATTTATCATAACAGATATCTGATAAGAACCAGATGAGATACCTGTTGAGAATTTAGTTAGTTCAGTTGACATTTTTATTTCAACTGAGCTAACTTTCTCCATTATAATTAGTAAGCATTATTTTTTTTATGAGTAGTCTCATTGGAAAAAATAAAAAGTACAGTGAAGATCTGAACTAAATTTGATCTTGAATTCATCATTAAAGAGTCATTGTTAGTTGTACCAATATTTCAGATTCAGACATTTAATCGCGGATGTTTTTTTTAATTTTTATTGTATATACAGTATACATGAATGATAAAATGGAGTTTAAAGCACTAAATCTTGTTTATAATTAAAAACATCTCAATAAATTTCATTTCTGATTAAAAATTAATCATAGACTATTTGGTTAATGCAAATTAAATTACAAGTCTAAATTTATTTTTAGAAAATTTTATACCTTAACTGTACTTCTGATTGTGGTGGACCTCTGCTTGCTAATTCTTGGGTCATTACTTCTAACTCAGTTGATAATGATATTCCAGACCAACCATTTTCAATTGTATTATGCATTTCTTCTCCCCATAAAGAACTATCTTCTGACATGTCAAGTGTTAATAAACTCTCATCTTCGGCTGTTCAATGTTATAAAATTAAAATTAGTTTATAAAATATGTAAAACTTTATTATAATGTTGAAAGTAAATTACTATATAAATGACTACNTTCTTAGAATATTTTTAAAAGCTATACCAAAAAAACTTAAAAAAAATTTTTTTATTTACTCTCATTCCATGTGAGCCACAAGTAATCCATAAAGCTTCTGTTAAATGTGGAGTTTTCTGGCTGATACGGGAAGATACCCAGACACATTCAACACTGGATGCTAATACTGTAGGTGCACTAAATTGAGGCACACCCTATTTATGATTTAATAAAACTATTTATAGTTTGTTATATTTTTATTTTAAACACAAATCAAGCAATTTTTGAAGTCAATACCTGATTATTATTAATTGTGTCTACCTTTCGATGAGCTGGATCTTGCTGAAGTAAAAATAAACGTCCGCAAACATTTAGAAGTATACTTTCATCACCTTTCTTTCTTCAAAAATGATACCAAATGAAAATCTAAATGAGCAGATAAATATCCCAGATCCTTTAATCTTCCAGCCGATAAAAGTTTTCGAGCATGTCTTGTAAGAATTGTGTCAATAAAAAATTCTTCAGCTGTATCTTTATCTTTGATCATTGCTCTAAGAAATATAAATTAAATAATAAATAAAACAAACATAAAATACATTTATAAGTCATAATTATAGGACATGTAATAAACCATAAAATAACTTTCTCTTTTCATTTGCTTTTGAAAAAGACTCCTTCACAAAATCTTGAAATAAATGTTTTTTTTTATTTGAAAGATAATTTATAAAACACAACAGAAAAACATGAGAATAGGTAACAAAAAGAAAACCATCTTTCTTAATTCCAGCAAACTGTTTTAAGGGATGACGATCTATTAATCTTGATTGAAAATATTTTTGTTATTAAATTAATTTGCTAAGATTATCAAAGATAATTTATGATAACAATGTCAATCAATTTCAATCTTTTTAAAATATAAATAATATCAGATATGAAAATTTATATTATACAATTGAATAAAGCCTTAATTTATTTATACAATTATTAAATTTTGTTTAACTGAATGCAATTTATTGATTAACTGAAATTTTTATTTAAAATATCTAATGTTAATCTGATTTATAATAAAAATCAGAATAAATATTTCTCAATGTTTAGACTAAAATGTTATTGTAAAAATTTAAATATCATATTTAATATAAGACATATGAAAAATCATTACAAATAATTAACAGTAAAAAAAATCATCAAAATTATATCAAAGTCTGTAATTTCTTACCATGTTGTGTTCTAGGCAGAAGCTGCGCTTCAATTGGTTGAATATCCGCAACATCAGGAAGAATGTTATTATTTTCATTATTTTGAATATCCTGACAAGAATTACTTAAGTATCCACTATCACCAATCTCGTGAGTAATTGAAGATTTCTTCTTGGTAGTATTAACTGTTGCAGCTTTCAGTTTATCTTCCATTATCCCAGTTAAACTCACATTAGCACTTGACTGAATTGAAGAACCTAAATAACAAATTTTAATGAATTTTCAACAATAGATTCATATATAGCAAACTTTTGTACTATTGAAGTTTAGTAACATGAGGGATAACCTCTCTTGCTTTACACCACTTTACTTTTAATGTTTTTACTAACTGAAAGAAATCTGAAGAGGACATTTGCTTTTGTCTTGCAGAGACCTGTTTTAGAGGAACTGTGTACTCTAAGTAAAAAGTAGCAAGAGGAGTCTCCAAGCTCCTTCCCAGGAAACTGCATCCTACACCAAGCCACCATTGCTTCAAACTGTGTCTGAGTATCTTTGCTTTATGTCAATTATCTAAATATCATTTTGTACATCCTTAGCAAAAATAAAATAAAGTCTATTGTTTGAGTAAATTACTGAGTGTACAGAGTGTGATATCCTGTTATCTTTACTTAAGAAGAAAGCCAGTCTTTTCAATAAGCTAAAATGGAAATAATGGATAATGGTGAGGAAAGTATTGAAAAAATTCAATTTAAACGTAGTCATGGATGGTTTAATCAGTTTTTAATCTCCAGAATGGAGTTAGATGGATGAAAGATGAGACCAGATATGGAAACCTTAGGGGTAGGAGGCCCTGATTAACTATATACAAACTTCTGATGCAAACTGAAAATCATGTTATTTCAATTCAAAAATTTTCCTCTGAAAGATATTAGATAGATGATTGGCACATCTCAATTGCTAAAGGAAAAGTATGATGTATAGGGGCAAGACACTACTAATTTGAGGTGGAGAGCATATATTTTAAATTAAATAAATTAAAAATATGATTAAAAATTGCGGCCTGGCATTGCAACAATGTCACAACAAATTTTTGCTCATTTTTAAAAAAGTCAATTTTTTTAAACTTTGTTTTAATAAGATATTTTATTAAATTTATAATCTTGTAGTTTTTAAATTACATTCTTAATGTAAGAATACCTATAATAATAACATACTTATAAATAAAATTATATATCATCATTCAACATAAATTACCTGAACTCCTCCTAGGTAAACTTAAATTTGAAGAAGCTGCATAAATAGGAAAGGGCCAGTTAAATTCTCGATGAATTGTTTGAAGTGATGTGATAAAATCATCAACTTTTGCCACTCTGGTTCTAAATAATAAACAAAAATGTATGTAATTCATCTTTATATGTTTGGATATTTGGTGTTATTTATTTATTAAAATAAAACAAAACTAAAAGGATTCTGAGTAATTTTCATTCTATGTCCTATTTACACTAAAAATGGTTATGAGATTTTAAAATATTAGTTTGTTTTTAATCAATTCATAAAATGAATAAAAACAAAAACACTTTTAGATTTATGCTATATAGTAATTTATTTTTACTGAATTATTGATAAAAACCTCTTTAAATCTCAGCAAAAATAAATTTAAATCTTTTCAACAATATAATAATCTACATATACAGTGGAACCTTGCTTAATGAGCATAATTTGTTCCAGAACCTTACTCGTAATGTGAAACACTCATTAAGCAAAACAATTTTTCCCATAGAAATTAATGTAAAATATGATAATGTGTTTCATGCTGAAAAAATACTCAAATACCATATTTATTTACGTATAATATGATGTTTTTATTCATTTTTCACTGCTTCAAAAACCTAGGTCATCCTATTTGCGTGAGCAAAGGATCCTTTGCATTTTTGAAATAATTTTTGTGAACCATGTATAGTTCATGCTGCCATTATAGCAGAGTGCTAGTGAGGTCAAGGTGAATGTTGCTTTTAAAGAGATGATCCGAAAATAGCTGGTCACTTAGCAATGATTATAAATGTAGTTATTTTATATTTGTTAAATTGGTATTTTTAATGAATATTTCTACATTCTGAATCATTAAAAGTAAACTTTATCTTGTCATGTGCATTATAATCTTTTGGTTTTGCTACATGGGTATCAGGTGCATGGAATAGCAATATTCAAAAGCTGATAGCAGTCATTCAGGAAATATCGCTTTTTAAATTCACTTGACAGATCAGAGGACAGTGCTTTGTGGAGTAAAAGTGAAGAAGAGTAAAACTGTAATGAAGCTTTGGAGGGCAAGTCCGAGCAGACAAAAAGTGATAGTGTCAAGAAAACATGGTTGTTTGCCTTAATACATGCATTTGATGATAATTTATTTGTGATTAAACAAAATAAAATTAGAATTGTATTAATAAATCTAATTTCCTTTATTTTGATCTTTCAAGTTACACCTCGTCCTGTATGCAAGATCGCCTTATACGTGAGTAAATGCAGAATTTTATGTATAACATTTATTCAAAGAAAATTATACAATATACATTGTTAAGAAGAGTAAATCATCATCATCTTTTCTTCTATCACAGAATGAACCAACCTGGAATACTAATTTAATTTGCAGAAAAAAAAAGAAAAGAAAAAAAATCATAGATAATAGCATGATGGAGCATGTGCACAATCCAGGACTTTCCCTCTCTCCTTGTCACTCATTATGCGAAACTGTGCTTGTTAAGCAAGTCATTTTTTTAAAAATTTAATTTGCTCATTATGCGAGGTTCCACCGTATTCTATTTATAACATTACAGTAAGCAATATTATTTTGCATATTATTATAATTATCAAACACTATTTATAGCAGTACAACTTAAAAATGTATAATTTAAGTATAAAATCAAATTTGTTGCAGTTAATTTTGTTGATACTTCTCATTTTTCCATAATAGAATAAACTTTGTCCATGATCTTACTTGTTTACAGTGATGAAAAAAATTATAAGATTAATTACAGTAAGTACTTTAAAATTTAAAAATGTCCTTGAAGTTTTGAAGTTTGGATTTTTTGGATATTCTTTACTATATTTCTAAGGATATAATACTTTAATTAAAAAATTCTAGTTTAATTTGATGATTAAATGTTAAGTGCTGTTGTTATAAAGACTTCTATCATAATTTTTTTCACAGAAAATCAATTTATTTATTTATTAATGAAGAAATGTTTTTTTTTTTTTAGTTTGATAATTCCGTTCTGTAAGTTATACATTATTTAAGTAATGTTGATGCATCTAAAATAATTACTTTTGTATAAGAGGCCAGAGTAAATATCAGTAAAACCCATTAAATCTGAAAGAAATAAATCCAGTTTTCTAATACTGACTGAAAACCTAACCAATGTATCCCTTGATATAACACAAAAGTTTTTGTATAATAATGTTATAATAAAAGGAACAAGTTTGCTTGATTTAATATATTATTATATTTAATATTTATTGCCTTCTTTTTATTTATACTTTATTAAGAAAAATTAAAAAATAAATTGATTAAATTGGCATATTGGCATAACCTTTGTTTGTAATTTATATGCAAGTACCTTTATTTGAATTTTTAATGGATTTCAATATAAATATTCAAGGCTTAGATTCACAAATTTGTATCTTGAATAACTTAAAAGCTTCAGAAAGATATGAACTATGTTTCTAAAGAGTTATTAGTTAATATATAATTTGTAGTTTTAAAGATGTTATAATCGATTAAGTCTGTTCATTTTAAGCCTTTAGTAGAATTCATGGGATTTGTTTAATATAATTGAGATTCTGTTTTTGTATAGTGTGAGTTGTGGGGTGTCTAAATTTAAAAATTTCTACAGGAATTTAAGAGATTTTTCAGACTAACAATTGCATTTTTGACATGGAATTTTGTTGCCTTGCTTCACATTTCGTTATGTCTTTTTTGAAAAATTTTCTTTGATCATGAAATAAAACAGATCTAAAAATAGTTTAAATTATGTTTGAAAATCCCGATTAAAATGTGATTTTTATTAAATTATTTTAAAACATTCACTTATTTTTATGGAGTCTTTTTTATTATATTTATATATATTGAATCTAGCAAAAATTAACCAAAAATAAATTAAAAGAACTAAATGCAAATCTGTATTTCATATACAATAGGCCTATGTTAAAAAATTAGTTGCTAAAATAAGTTTTAGCAACTAACTTTTTATATATTGTATTATATTATTCTGTTTCATTTTTATATTACAGTTAATAAGTAAAATATATTTATATGCATTAAAAGTGAAATAAATGTTAATGGTTATAAAACAAATTGATTACCACTTGCTAATACTTAGTTAGCATCACCTGTTTGTAGAAAATAGACAATATAATTGTGAGTTTTAAATAAACTCTTAATAACTTAATTTAAGTAAAGATGGTTGACTATAAAAAATGAAACAGAAATATAGTATTATTTCGGATACAAGTTTTGATTATTTTGAATCTTCTTGATGGTTTTTTTTTATGTTGATTAGAATTTAAAAATGATAGTATCAAAATGTAATTTTATCTATATTTATCATTATTTATAAAATAGCAATTCCATTTTATTTTATTTTATTATTCAACAAAAGTTCAAATAATTAAAGAAATTTATAACAGTTTTAGTTTATAATTCAAATTAATAACAGGAAGTTGTTCTGTTTTGTAGAGTGAAAGATGTTATTAAAGACAAAAAGATCTTGTATACTGATTTAGGTATTTGGTATATTTAGTATATATAACTCAAGATTTTCAGTTAGTAAAAATGATAGACCAATCAATTGCAGTTCATATTAGACAAAGTTTTCAATATCCCTCACATAATTTCATTTATAGTAAAGTAGAAGTTTGAATTCTCAGTTATCTTTAATGAAAAATATCAAACATGTATCTTGAAATTATTTTAAAAATATAATTAACCATGTTTTAAATATGTAGCTTTCTATAGCTTTCCATATTTTAAAGATTGATTTGATGTTAAATAATTTTAATTCTGTTTTTTATGTTTATGAATGCAATAATTTATGAATATAATTGCCGATAATTTTGACATAATTGAACTGTTTTTTTTTTCTATAAGAATAGGACTTAAATGTGATATTTATTATATTTTAAGCTTGTTATTAAATTGTATATTGGGGAAGCTGATTTCTGAGTTATATTTAAAGGATCATTATTACAAATGTAGTAATGTAATTTTATTTATTATAAATTACATCTCTTGCCATTTGAGAATACTCCAAAAAACAAAAAAATTGGATGGTGTAAGAGCTGTTTTGAATTTTTGTACAGTATTATGTTTTTTCTCTTTGTTTATTTTATATAAATAAAATATTCATACACATACATAATATTTTATTTTTATTTGATCTGCAGTTCCAATTGGTCAGTTCTTAAAAATGTCTAATATTAAAATGAAGATAAATGACAATTAAATTTATAATAATTCAATATTAAATTCTAAAATTTCTATTGATAAACTATTAAATTACTTGAATATAAAAACATTTTATTATTATTTTTATAAAGTGAATTTTAATATATGTATAAAAGGTTTTACTATCTCTTATATAATTTTGTATACATTTTAATTGACAAATTTTTATATTTGGAAAATATGAATTTGGAATTTAGAAGTTATTGCTTTTGCTCATCTTTGTTTAATTTGCATTATTCATTTATTGATCATCATAGATTAATCATTCCTGTTAGGCTCTTCATAAAATTTCTGTCAGATTACTAAACAAATAAATTATAAATATAACAACTGGATAAATGTATAATATAGTTGTGTTTATAAGATTGATTCCTCTTTTCATTAGATAATTGCATAAAAAATGATGATGATCTAAAATAATTACAATAAATCTGCCTTTCATTATCAGAATTAAATGAAGAATCTAAATTAGGTATGAGATAATTGTAAGATATTTAATTATTTCTATGTTAGAAAGAATTAATTTATTCTAATTTTAAATGTTAGATATGATTACAAATTTCAAGGCATATTGGCATAACCTTTGTTTGTAATTTATATGCAAGTACCTTTATTTGAATTTTTAATGGATTTCAATATAAATATTCAAGGCTTAGATTCACAAATTTGTATCTTGAATAACTTAAAAGCTTCAGAAAGATATGAACTATGTTTCTAAAGAGTNACAGTTTTTAAAATCACTGATATAGTTTTAATATGGCCCTAGGGGGTTGCCAGAAGTTTTTAACATGCAAAGGGGTCACGTATTCAAGAAGGTTGAAAAACACTGTTTTAGACATAATGACTGCATATTCAGCCATATATTGAGGCTAATAGTGTGAAAAGATAGCTTAAATTGCCTATTTAACTGAAGACTGTGATAATTATAACTGAAACTTTGATTACAATAAATATATTTTGCAATAAAGTTTTACAAGTATTTTAACTCAAATATTTTGGAACTCGCTAATTCTGATAACATTAAATGAATTCTACTGCATAAACAATCAAGCCTAAACTTTATGACAAATTATTAAACCTCTGATTAATTTCAGACTATAACTTGACTAATTATTAATAATAAAGCAGTTCTAAGAACAGGTAGCTAAGTTATCAGCTTGTGCTAACTTTAATTATAAATTGATAGCTTTGGTTATTTGACATTATTTAATGAAAAACGATTACAGTGAAAAAGAAATTGATGATTTAATCAAGTTTAATTTAACTGTTATATGAATGAACTAATATTTTATCTTAGTTATTTTCATATTCAATCAATTTTGAACTATAAATATTAACTTTTTGCAATGTAAATGCATATAAGTTAATCTTATAAAAATTGTAGGATTTAAAAAGCAACAATTAGCTATCTTTGAATTTTATTCTTAATTAGAGGTAAATACATTCAATTTTTAAATTTAATTCAATTCAATTCAAAGACAAAATGTTTAAATCTTAGAAATATTTCAAAATTTAAAAAATAATTATATTATTATAATAATCTTTATAAAATATTCATTATATAAAGATTAATATAATAATACAGTTATTTTTAGATTTTGAAATATTTCTGATTTAAAAATGTTACTGTATTATTGCATATGTTATGTTAAAGACATCATTACTAACTTAAATGTTAAGAAAAATTTTAAATTGTTATCAAATATATGAAATTAAAATCAAATAAATAAATGAATTTGTTTATCAAATATTCAATAGTTAAAGTTGAAGCAAATAATCTTTTCAATTTCCCAAAATTTTAATTTTTTAACTCTTTACATGTTAATGTCAAAAAATCATAATAGTGGTTATTCTGAATATGCTATTCAAAGAATATCAATAAAAAATTACTTGATAATCTGGTCAATTTTCACATTAGTTATAAATAGACTTATGTATCAGAAAATTCAATAAAGTCAGTCCAAAGCAGAACCTGAATAAAACAGAAATCTGCCTAAATGGAAAAAATTATTTGGAAAATAGCAATTTTTTATTAATATACTGTTATTATTGTTAAAATGAAACATGTTCAAAACAGAAACTTGTCAAACTGGAAAAAATACTCAACATACAAAATTCTCTGCATACTTCCACATTTTTAATTTGTACTATAATTCTTGGATAATTTCAGTTCTTTCAAGAAATAAGAAGCATTTTTCTTTTATTAAATGAATATCTTTATTATGAAATAAGACTAAAAACTGAAGGGTAAATGTAAAAATTAGCAATACAACATATTTTTGACAACTCAATAGATAGTTCACTCAGGTAATAATTTTCCTCTCATTAAGTACTACATAAAGAAAAAATTTGCAAATTATATCCATGAAGTAAACTCTTATAACCATGAATATTTACTTTAAATATTTCTTAATTAAAAACAAAATGAATATCTGTTCACAATAACCATGCTTATTGCAACTAAGTTCAACTGTATTAGATGGATACAATTATTGAAAAATATACAAAATTTTGCAATGAAATTTTACACAAGTTACTTCCAATTTTTTTACAAAAATAGTTTTGTATAATTTCTGCTTTTAAAATTCGCAATTTACTGTTTGTTATAATAAAATAAAATCTAAATACCTCCCACTTGTTTGCATTTAATGCAGAATCAAGTAGTAATGTTGCATGCTGTCGGCTTACAGAAGCTACTTCCAAGTTTTGAAGTATAATTAAATATGATGCTGCAGTTTCTAAATGACCTTGACTGAGACATTTCTATAAGAAATTATCATTATTATTAAAACTGAAAGTTCATTAATATACAAAAATTAAAAAAATATATATAAACAATCAATTTATTAATTAAATAGTCTATATTAACACACACAATATGGATTACATTAATGCCTGTAGTAAGTAAATTTTCATCATTTAAGCATTTTTTGCAGTACATAGCAAGAAAATGACAAGCATGGCCAGATCACAGCATCTCCCAGACTGACTGATAATGTAAACTCCTCATGAGTTCTTTGTTTAATTACTCAGTGTTATAGGAAAAGTTAATATTAGTATATAGGCAATATATTTAATAGAATATACATTCAACTAAAAAGGAAGCAATTTTAAATGTTTTCAATACACAGAAAATTCATAAAAATTTAGATATCAAATGAATAAAATCAGATTTTATACTAATATTCTGTCATTAAATTAAAGCATTAACAAAAAATATTAAAGACTTAACATAAATGCCCTTAAAATAATGTTACCTAAGATAAATGTTCACATTATACTGCTTTGACGATGTTTAGCACGTTGGAAATGATGTAAACTTCTTTAACACAAATTAGCTTTAATGATTATTACAATAAATCCATAAACCATAGTAAGTTCACATTAAAAAAAATGTTAACTTGTTAATATTATTACTCATAGATAACATCAAAAATTCTCTCTCTTCCTTTNTAATCTTTATAAAATATTCATTATATAAAGATTAATATAATAATACAGTTATTTTTAGATTTTGAAATATTTCTGATTTAAAAATGTTACTGTATTATTGCATATGTTATGTTAAAGATATCATTACTAACTTAAATGTTAAGAAAAATTTTAAATTGTTATCAAATATATGAAATTAAAATCAAATAAATAAATGAATTTGTTTATCAAATATTCAATAGTTAAAGTTGAAGCAAATAATCTTTTCAATTTCCCAAAATTTTAATTTTTTAACTCTTTACATGTTAATGTCAAAAAATCATAATAGTGGTTATTCTGAATATGCTATTCAAAGAATATCAATAAAAAATTACTTGATAATCTGGTCAATTTTCACATTAGTTATAAATAGACTTATGTATCAGAAAATTCAATAAAGTCAGTCCAAAGCAGAACCTGAATAAAACAGAAATCTGCCTAAATGGAAAAAATTATTTGGAAAATAGCAATTTTTTATTAATATACTGTTATTATTGTTAAAATGAAACATGTTCAAAACAGAAACTTGTCAAACTGGAAAAAATACTCAACATACAAAATTCTCTGCATACTTCCACATTTTTAATTTGTACTATAATTCTTGGATAATTTCAGTTCTTTCAAGAAATAAGAAGCATTTTTCTTTTATTAAATGAATATCTTTATTATGAAATAAGACTAAAAACTGAAGGGTAAATGTAAAAATTAGCAATACAACATATTTTTGACAACTCAATAGATAGTTCACTCAGGTAATAATTTTCCTCTCATTAAGTACTACATAAAGAAAAAATTTGCAAATTATATCCATGAAGTAAACTCTTATAACCATGAATATTTACTTTAAATATTTCTTAATTAAAAACAAAATGAATATCTGTTCACAATAACCATGCTTATTGCAACTAAGTTCAACTGTATTAGATGGATACATTTATTGAAAAATATACAAAATTTTGCAATGAAATTTTACACAAGTTATTTCCAATTTTTTTACAAAAATAGTTTTGTATAATTTCTGCTTTTAAAATTCGCAATTTACTGTTTGTTATAATAAAATAAAATCTAAATACCTCCCACTTGTTTGCATTTAATGCAGAATCAAGTAGTAATGTTGCATGCTGTCGGCTTACAGAAGCTACTTCCAAGTTTTGAAGTATAATTAAATATGATGCTGCAGTTTCTAAATGACCTTGACTGAGACATTTCTATAAGAAATTATCATTATTATTAAAACTGAAAGTTCATTAATATACAAAAATTAAAAAATATATATAAACAATCAATTTATTAATTAAATAGTCTATATTAACACACACAATATGGATTACATTAATGTCTGTAGTAAGTAAATTTTCATCATTTAAGCATTTTTTGCAGTACATAGCAAGAAAATGACAAGCNTATGTAATATGTAAAAAAAAAAAAAAAGTGCTTTCTGCCAGTAATAATTAAAAATTTTTTCAAATTATTCTTAAACACAAAGTGTAATCAACTTTTGGTGTTGGAATTTTTAAAGTAACACCACTGATAGAGGAGAGGACAGATCCTTCTTTACATATTTTAATGTAAGTTGTAGCCTACAATTAAAGAGTGATTTATGTTATTGTTTTTAGAAGTTCACTGAAAGTTTAAAAAGAAATTTTGTGCAACAGTTGTTTTTGCAATTGTCTACAATGTGAAACATAGTTAATTCTTAATACTTTTTATATGATTACAGCCAAGTTTATTAATCAAGTACAAACCTAGTAGCCAAATTCATTATCATATCAATAATGACTAATTTTGCATATTCTATACATACATATATATACAGTGTATATATATACACACACACAATCAATTTATTAATTAAATAGTCTATATTAACACACACAATATGGATTACATTAATGTCTGTAGTAAGTAAATTTTCATCATTTAAGCATTTTTTGCAGTACATAGCAAGAAAATGACAAGCATGGCCAGATCACAGCATCTCCCAGACTGACTGATAATGTAAACTCCTCATGAGTTCTTTGTTTAATTACTCAGTGTTATAGGAAAAGTTAATATTAGTATATAGGCAATATATTTAATAGAATATACATTCAACTAAAAAGGAAGCAATTTTAAATGTTTTCAATACACAGAAAATTCATAAAAATTTAGATATCAAATGAATAAAGTCAGATTTTATACTAATATTCTGTCATTAAATTAAAGCATTAACAAAAAATATTAAAGACTTAACATAAATGCCCTTAAAATAATGTTACCTAAGATAAATGTTCACATTATACTGCTTTGACGATGTTTAGCACATTGGAAATGATGTAAACTTCTTTAACACAAATTAGCTTTAATGATTATTACAATAAATCCATAAACCATAGTAAGTTCACATTGAAAAAAATGTTAACTTGTTAATATTATTACTCAAAGATTACATTTCTCTCTCTTCCTTTTCACAAAAATTCTCTCTCTTCCTTTTCACAAAATTAATCATAAAATTTCTATCTACTTGATTTTGGTGTACAGACATCATTAAAAGTAATAAAATGACTTTAATATTATTCCAATAATACTTTTAAATTAAAAATTTTAAAGATCCAAGATTTTAAATTTTTTAATATAAAAGAATTACTGTACAATATATCAGAACTAGAAATAATGAAATTTTCAGACTTTTCACATTTAAAAGCATATTTTATTAAGTAAGAACATAACATTAATCAATTATGTAATCTCAAAAAGTTTGAAGCTATTATCAGCTTTTGCAAAAATGCTGCTAGCATAAAGTTTTATGATGTAGAAGGGAAATAAATTGATTTTAAGACCTTTTCATTTTTTGGATTTTTTTTTTCATTTATAAATTTTCAGCCAATAAAAATATAATAGTTGGTAGGAGTAATATCAAGTGAATAAGATAGATGTGAAAGAATTTCTCATTTATGCTTGTTTACTATTATTTTTATAACTTAATACATATAAACAAATGCATATATTAAGAAATAATTTCTTTTTGGTTAAATAAAAGTGGTTCCTTTTTAAACAAAGCTTAATAAAATAATTAAATTATTGGATATAGATTTCATCAATTGTTTTTTTCTTGGAAGATGAAAAAATATTGTTTTTTCAAATCTTCCATCTAATGCTTGACATCTTCCTTGAATCCATAATATCACATTACCTACTTTACAGAATTAGGTTTTGATATTTAATCATTATCTATCCCTCACTAATGGCATTTGATGTCATTAACAAATTTGTTTTTCTTTTAATCTCCAATAACATTTTCATTTAAAATTAAGTACAATATCAACAAGATAATAAAGTTGTACATTGATTGTTTTCCTTTACTCAATTCATGAGAAAATTATTTTCAAAATTTTTGTAATTTGCAATCAAACAGTTCAATGGCATAGAAAGTTCTTGTTATATTATTATAACAAGAATAACAACTTTTAAAATATAGTATATATACCTGAAATAAATTCCTGGGATTTCCAACAGCTGAAAAAAGATAAGACCATAAAGCTAATTCAGTTTTCCTTGCACACTGTACTACAGTTTGTAGGAACACAGGAAATTCTCTAATAAAATCTATAATTCTTGGTAAAAGAGCATCTACAAAATAAAAATGATGATAAAATATTTTAATAATTTACTTTATGTAAGAATCATAAGAATTAAACTATACAATTCTTTTAAACTTAAGAAAATGGTTTATATATAATCAGCCATATATTG